TGGATACTGGATGTGGTTCTCACATCTGTACTTCTATGCAGAACTTGCATGAATGTAGACAATTGACGGAGGGAGAGATACAACTAAAAGTCGGCAATGGCGCACTCGTCTATGCATTGGCCGTCGGAACCTATAGTTTATCTCTACCTAGTGGTCTAATATTGCATTTGAATAATTGTCTGTTTGTACCTAGTATGAGAAGAAACATCATTTCTGTATCCTGCCTTGACAAAGCAGGATTTTCGTTCGATGTAAAAGACAAAACTCTTTCTGTCTTTAGAAATGAAATATTTTATGCAACTGCAAAAATGACCAACGGTCTCTATGTCCTCGACATGGATACCGCAGTATATAACGTAGATGTTCAGAGAAACAAACCTAACAGTTTGAATCTCGCGTACCTTTGGCATTGTCGTTTGGGCCACATTAACGAGAAACGCATATCTAAGTTACATCGTTCTGGTGTACTTGATTCATTTGACTTCCAGTCATATGATGTATGTAAATCTTGTTTACTTGGTAAAATGACAAAGGCTCCATTCACCGGTCACGGTGAAAGGGCAAGTGACTTATTGGGCCTCATACACTCCGATGTGTGTGGTCCAATTAGCACTGTAGCTAGAGGTGGTTATTCTTACTTCGTTACATTTACTGACGACCTTAGTAGATATGGATATGTGTATCTCTTGAAACACAAATCGGAATGCTTTGACAAATTCAAAGAATTCAAGAACGAAGTAGAAAAACAATTAGGCAAAAGTATTAAGACCCTCCGCTCAGATCGAGGAGGTGAATACTTAAGCCTAGAGTTCGATGACTATCTGAAAGAGCATGGGATCTTATCCCAACTCACTCCTCCGGGGACACCTCAGTTAAATGGAGTGTCTGAGAGGAGAAATCGGACTTTGCTAGACATGGTCCGGAGCATGATTAGTCTGACAACATTGCCAGAATCATTTTGGGGATATGCATTGAAAACAGCAGCGCACACACTCAACAGAGTTCCATCTAAAGCCGTCGAGTGCACACCATACGAACTATGGCGTGGGAGAAAACCGAGTTTCTCGTACTTTAAGATTTGGGGCTGTGAAGCTTATGTAAAACGTCTCATGACGTCTAGTAAGTTGGAGCCTAAATATGATAAAGTAATTTTTGTGGGATACCCCAAGGAAACTAGAGGGTATGAGTTCTATCATCCATCCGATAACAAAATCTTTGTTGCTCGGAATGGAACCTTCCTTGAGAAGGGGTTTCTTTCTGCTATCACTAGTGGGAGAAAGGTAGACCTCGAAGAAATTCGAGAACCACAAGAAGAAGTCCCGATAGTGTTGGAACCTGAGCAAAGAGATCAAGCAATTGAACCTCAAATTGCTCAAGATATACCACGTAGGTCAGACCGGATACGTAATCCTCCGGTCAGATATGGATTTCTCATGTCTGATGAAGGT